TTTGCTGCGCTCTTTTCTTATTTTGCGAAAGAATGCCCAATTGTGTTCACATTTTCTGGAACGAAATTTTTACTTGTTTTGTAACGCAAAAAGAAATGATTAGCAAGTTCATCGCAGCTTGGCTTTATAGATGAAATGATATGTTTTCTGCCATACTTTCATGAATTAGAAAAAACAAGGTTAAAATTTGTCAAGAGTGATGGAATATCATTACTTGCTAATATTTTCAATGTTTGTTGTGTATATTGAAACGTCACTGTCACCACTGTCAAAACCTTTTTTAAGAAGTTGATTCTTAGGTCATGAAAAGTTGCTACATTGAGAAAACGATATGAAAATACACAGTATCTAATGAGCGCATTAAACAAATTTGTATTGTGACTCTGTGGCCACAAATGCTTCGCAACAATTTTACATGCAGTCTATTTCAGGCTGATATATCTATTAAAATTCTGCTAAATTTATAAACTAACGAGATTTTTTTGGCAGATCTTTTGTGTTTTTGCAGTCCATTCCTGTTGGTGAAGAATTTGTCACATCCCTTGCATTGAGGACGAGATTCATGCGTTTGCTTATGGTAGCGAAATGATGAACCATGGTCGAATATTTGCCCACAACTGGGCGCTCTGCATTCATAGATGAAGGGCTGACCGTGTGCTTTCCTATGTGTTATATATTCCTTGCGACTTGTCGCAATTACAGCACACCCGGGATAGAGGCATTCGTAGCTTTTTCCACCTAAAAAACTCTTATAATATTTGTTTTTGCAATGCCATTCTGTTACAATGTTTGGCAACTAATTATGTAATCTGATTATCACTCCTTAGCACATCTCATTTCAAATAATTTTCATCCTAGAAGCCAAATTTTCTGTGTGTTTTTTCTTGTACATGCATTCTATTTCAAGCTGTCATATACTTCTAAAATTCTTTTAAATTTTCAAACTAACGAGATTTTATTTGGCAGAGTTTCCTATGTCTAAATAGTGCATTTATGCTACTGAAGAATTTGCCGCAACACTCGCACTGAGGATTAGATTCATGCGTTTGCTTGTGAGTATGAAGTGTTGAATCATGGTTGAATATTCGCCCACAACCGGCCACTCTGCATTCATAGATGAAGGGCTGACCGTGTGTTTTCCTATGTGTTATATATTCGTTACGACTTTTCGTGACCATAGCACATCCGGATAAAGGCATTCATACCTTTGTTCGTCTGAATTGATATTTTATTATGGAGTTTAGCAGCTAATTAAGTATTCTGATAAACCATAAAAACATCGTTGCTATGAAATAATCTTACACATCTCGTTTCAAATAATTTAGATCACAAAAGCTGTACAATTATCTTCACTTATAATTGAACAAAAAGTGTAATTGTAAGTTTTTCGTTTGTTTTGTAAGTTTTCATTTGTCTCATCGCTCACAAATCATAGCACATTTTATGCGTATTCCATTTCAGGTTGATATATGTGTTCTGTTAAATTTACAAACTAACGAGATTTTTTTTGGCAGAGCCACTCGTGTTTACGCAGTGCATTCCTATTGACGAGGAATTTGCCACAATCCTTGCACTGAGGACGAGGTTCATGCGTCTGTATGTGATTGTAAAATGATGATTCATGGTCAAATATTCGCCCACAACCGGACACTTTGCATTCATAGATGAAGGGCTGACTGTGTGTTTTCCTATGTGTTAGATATTCTTTGTGATTTTTCGTGGTCACAGTACACCCGCGATAATGACAAGTATAATTTTTCTTATCTGAAAAATTCTTGTCAAAGCATTTTGCAATCAGTAGTCCATTACACCATTTGGCACTTAAATAATGTGAGAAATCATATAAATATCATCGCTATAAAAAAATATCACATTGCATTTTGAATAACTTAGGTAAAAGGTAGTTCTTTACTTACCTTCTCATATTTTGAAGCCAAAGTCATACTTTGAATGTCACCTCTTCAATTTCATGCGAATAATGAAAGCAAAGAACAATTAGAACGAAAAGTTGTTATGCAATGTGTCATTACCTGTTTCTGATTCTTTATAGGCATTTTCCTTGTAATCGAGGATATTCAAGTAATCTGAATGCTTATTGTCGATGTTGCTCTGTTCAGCAGTTGCACTTTGACTGGAAGTGTTATCTGAGGAAAGAGTAAGCTGGTGAAAATAAATCGGAACGGCATTTTGTTGTGAGCCAGGTAAGTGCATATATGTGATAATATCATCGCTGTTGAGATTAAGTGAGGAAGAAGTTTCATTCTGAGCATCTAAATAACTCAAATTACAAGAAGTTGTGTTTATCTTTTCATATATCTAAAGCAAAAGTCTCACCTATAATGGAAGGATATCGCACGTTATCATCACTCGTTTTTAATTCTTCATTAGCATCTCTCCACAGATTCCTATATGAGTCCATATCTGATAACTCCAAATTAGTGTGGCCATAGATATCGGAGAAGCCAGGATGAGGAGAATTTGTGATCTGATTAGTTTCAGATCCCGATTCTTCACTTCTTATATTCTCAGTTTCACTCAACTGAGCGAAATCAATGAACTGCGAAGGATCCAACGGAAATTCTGAGCTAAACAATGGCTCAAAATTGTTGTAATCGAAGATATCAAGGCTATCTGAGATGCCAGAAAAAGGGTCGATATTAGGTAGATTGGAAGTTTCATTATCAGAAGCGATGCATAGTAGAAGATTGAACCAAGTGATGGGTGTCATAAATTTATTGAAGAACATGGTGAAACACAATTTTGTGAGATGACAGAAATGCTCAAATGGAAGCTTTTTATTTCAGATTGCTTGGAATTAAAGACCAAAGGTGAAACAGTTGTTTTAATATTTTTTCCCTTTCATTCTCGCTTTCTTCTCCACCATTGGTAGTTTATGAAGTCTGTAAATGTTCTTTTGAAACTCGATGGAAGTGCTGCAGTAGCGTGTTCTACCATTTCAGTAATACATGTACACTGGGTGACACCACAAGAAATGGTATTCTGATGCATTTAATAAAATACATATCACTAATAATATCACTGATAGAACTTCATTGGATCACTTGAAATTTGATAAATATTGCTTATTGACATACATCCATAACTATTCCTACTATTATAAAAAAAATTTCAACATAAGCTGAAGCGGTATTTGATATTTGAAAGGATGGAGCAAATTTCAAAAAAAAAAGTTTGGTTGACATTTGCATAAAGGAAACTAATGAATAGCTGGAATTAAATGTCATTGATAACAAACCATTTTATTAAATGTATTGATAACAAACCATTTTATTAAATGTATATGGTTTGTATAACAAACCATTTTATTAAATGCATCAAAATCCCATATCTCACGATGTCACCCAGTGTACACGTATTACTGAAATGGTAGAACACGCTACTGCAGCACTTCCATCGAGTTTCAAAAGAACATTTATAAACTTTTAAACCACAAATGGTGGAGAGGAAAGCAGAATGAAAGGGAAAAAATATTAAAAACAATGAGGATTTGAAACTGTTTCACCTTTGGTGTTTAACTTTTCACAACGATTAAAAACCTTTGATCTTTAAATCCAAGCAATCTGAAATAAAAAGCTTCCATTTGAGCATTTCTGTCATCTCACAAAATTGTGTGTTTCACCATGTTCTTCAATATATTTATGACAGCAATCATTTGGTTCAATCTTCTACTATGCATCGCTTCTGATAATGAAACTTTCCATCTACCTAATTTCGATACTGCTAATGAAGTTATTACAAATAATACTTATTCTGGCATCTCAAATACTTTTGGATTTCTCGATTACCTCAATTTTGAGCCATTATTTAGCTCAGAATTTCCGTTGGATCCTTCGCAGTTCATTGATTTCGCTCAGCTGAGTGAAGCTGAGGATGTAAGAAGTGAAGAATCGAAATCTGAAACTAATCAGATCACAAATTCTCCTCATCTTGGCTTTTCCGATATCTATGATCCCTTTGGCCACACTAATTTGGAGTTATCACTTAGCTCAGATATGGACACATATAGGAGTTTCTGGAGAGATGCTAATGAAGAATTAAAAATGAGTAATGATAACCTGCGATATCCTTCCATTAGAGGTGAGAGTTTTGTTTTAGATACATTTAAAGATAAATAAACATCTTGTAATTTGAGTTATTTAGATGCTCAGAATGAAACTTCTTCCTCACTTAATCTCAACAGCGACGATATTATCACATATATGCACTTACCTGGCTCACAACAAAGTGCCATTTTTCACCAACTTGCTCTTTCCTCAGATGACACTTCCAGTCAAAGCGCAACTGGTGAACAGAGCAACATCGACAATAAGTACTCAGATTACTTGAATATCCTCGATTACAAGGAAAATGCCTATAAAGAATCAGAAACAGGTAATGACCATTTAAAATACAATGTGATATTATTTTATGGCCCTGAAATGTTTATGATTCCTCACATTACTTAAGTACCAAGGTGTATTAGACTACTTACTGCAATGAAACGCTTTGACAATAATTTTTCAAATAAGAAAAATTACTGTGACCACGAAAAATCACAAAGTATATCTGACACATAGGTCAGCCCTTCATCAATGAATGCGAAGTGCCTGGTTGTGGGCAAATATTCAACCATGATTCAACATTTCATAGTCACAAGCAAACACATGAATCTAATCCTCAGTGCGAGTGCTGCGGCAAATTCTTCAGTAGTCATGAATGTACTATTTAGGCATAAGAAGCTCTGCCAATAAAATCTCGTTAGTTTGCAAATTTAACAGAATTTTAGAAGCATATGACAGCTTAAAATAGAATGCATGTACAAGAAAAAACACGCAGAAAATTTGGCTTCTAGGATGAAAATTATTTGATGTAAATTATTTGAAATGAGATGTGCTAAGGAGTGATATTTTTATAAATAATCAGATTACATAATTAGTTGCCAAACATTGTAACAGAATGGCAATTGCAAAAACAAATATTATAAGAGTTTTTTAGGTGGAAAAAGCTACGAATGTCTTTATCCCGGGTGTGCTGTGATCCCGAAAAGTCGTAACGAATATGTGACACATAGAAAAACACACAGTCAGCCCTTCATCTATGAATGCAGAGCGCCCGGTTGTGGGCGAACATTCGACCATAGATCATCATTTTGCAACCATAAACAAACGCATGAACCTCATCCTCAGTGTGGGCGCTGTGGCAAACTTTTCGTTAGCAGGAATGGACTGAATTATCATAAGAAGTGCTGCCCTACAAAATCTCGTTAGTTTGCAAATCTAGCAAAATTTTAAACACATATGTCAACCTGGAATAGAGTGCCTGTGAAATCCATTATGAAATATCTGACAGCGAGTGTTGATGCAATGGAAAAATCACAATTACACATTTTGTTGTAACTATACTCGAAAATGATTAAGCAACTTCTTGTGATCTAAATTATTTGAAATGAATGTGATAAGATTATTTCATGAGAGTGATATTTTTATGGTTTATCACACTAGTCAATTAGCTGCCAAAAACCATAATAAAATATCAATTGAAAAAACAAATATGTGAGATTTTCAGATGAACGATGCTATGAATGCCTTTATCCCGGATGTGCTATGGTCACGAAAAGTTACAAGGAATATATAGCACATAGGAGCACAAAATCTCGTTAGTTTATAAATTTAGCAGAATTTTAATAGATATGTCAGCCTGAAATAGAATGCATGTAAAATTTGTTGCGAAGCATTTGTGACCACAGAGTGACCTAAGAACCAACTGCTTAAAAAGGTGTTGACAGTGGTGACAGTGACGTTTCCATATACATCAACAAACACTGAAAATATTAGCAATGTAATGAATATTCCATCCACTCTTGGCCAAATTAGCTTTGTTTTTCTAATTCGTGGAAAGTATGCAGAAAAACATATCATTTCATCTATAAAGCCAAGCTGCCATGAACTGCTAATCATTTCGCAGTGCATTCCTGTTGGTGAAGATTTTGTCACAATCCTCGCACTGAGGACGAGGTTCATGCGTCTGTATGTGATTGTAAAATGATGATTCATGGTCAAATATTCGTCCACAACCGGACACTTTGCATTCATAGATGAAGGGCTGACTGTGTGTTTTCCGATGTGTTAGATATTCTTTGTGATTTTTCGTGGTCACAGTACATCCCGGGTAATAACAAGTATAATTTTTTTTATCTGAAAAATTCTTGTCAAAGCATTTTGCAATCAGTAGTCCATTACACCATTTGGCACTTAAATAATGTGAGAAATCATATAAATATCATCGCTATAAAAAAATATCACATTGCATTTTGAATAACTTAGGTAAAAGGTAGTTCTTTACTTACCTTCTCATATTTTGAAGCCAAAGTCATACTTTGAATGTCACCTCTTCAATTTCATGCGAATAATGAAAGCAAAGAACAATTAGAACGAAAAGTTGTTATGCAATGTGTCATTACCTGTTTCTGATTCTTTATAGGCATTTTCCTTGTAATCGAGGATATTCAAGTAATCTGAGTACTTATTGTCGATGTTGCTCTGTTCACCAGTTGCGCTTTGACTGGAAGTGTCATCTGAGGAAAGAGCAAGTTGGTGAAAAATGGCACTTTGTTGTGAGCCAGGTAAGTGCATATATGTGATAATATCGTCGCTGTTGAGATTAAGTGAGGAAGAAGTTTCATTCTGAGCATCTAAATAACTCAAATTACAAGATGTTTATTTATCTTTAAATGTATCTAAAACAAAACTCTCACCTCTAATGGAAGGATATCGCAGGTTATCATTACTCATTTTTAATTCTTCATTAGCATCTCTCCAGAAACTCCTATATGTGTCCATATCTGAGCTAAGTGATAACTCCAAATTAGTGTGGCCAAAGGGATCATAGATATCGAAAAGCCAAGATGAGGAGAATTTGTGATCTGATTAGTTTCAGATTTCGATTCTTCACTTCTTATATCCTCAGTTTCACTCAACTGAGCGAAATCAATAAACTGAGAAGGATCGGATGGAAATTCTGAGCTAAATAATGGCTCAAAATTGAGATAATGGAGAAAACCAAAGGTATCTGAGATGCCAGAATAAGTATTATTTGTAATAACTTCATTAGCAGTGCCGAAATTAGGTAGATGGGAAGTTTCAATTATCAGAAGCGATGCATAGTAGAAGATTGAACCAAGTGATGGGTGTCATAAATATATTGAAGAACATGGTGAAACACAATTTTGTGAGATGACAGAAATGCTGAAATGAAAGCTTTTTATTTCAGATTGCTTGGATTTAAAGATCAAAGGTTTTTAATCGTTATGAAAAGTTAAACATCAAAGGTGAAACAGTTTCCAAATCCTCATTGTTTTTAATATTTTTTCCCTTTCATTCTTGCTTTCCTCCTCCACCATTTGTGTTTAAAAGTTTTATAAATGTTCTTTGAAACTCGATGGAAGTGCTGCAGTAGCGTGTTCTACCATTTCAGTAATTACGTGTACACTGAGTGACATCGTAAAATAAGGGATTCTGATGCATTTAATAAAATACATACCACTAATAATATCACTGATAGAACTTCATTGGATCACTTGAAATTTGATAAATATTGCTTATTGACATACATCCATAACTATTCCTACTATTATAAAAAAATTTCAACATAAGCTGAAGCGGTATTTGATATTTGAAAGGATGGAGCAAATTTCAAAAAAAAAGTTTGGTTGACATTTGCATAAAGGAAACTAATGAATAGCTGGAATTAAATGTCATTGAAATATTTAATCTGTGCAGTATATAATGATCCTGTCTACTTTGTTTAATAAAATATTGTATATTGAATGGTAAATAAAATATTGAATGAATTATTTGCATGTTGTAAAAATTTTAGGTTTTAAATTTTGGTGACATCAATTAACTGACAACTGGAAATATATTGGTTTACTTCCGATGTTTATTCTTAACTATTGTTTACCATCTTACTCATATTTTAATTGATCATATCCAATTCTATCTCAACATATGCAATAATTCACAATCGATCGAACTGTAGTAGGCATAATCCTCGGTCAGATCGGTCAGAAATGGAAAGTAACACACAATGAATTGATAGGAGATATGTGAAAACTTTAGTGTGAATGGGTGGTGGTCAAAGCAGTGGTAATTAATAATGATTCTAACTAACCAGAAGTTTAAAACACCATTCTTTTCATTTTAATCTCTGCCTTTCTTCAAATTAATTCAGCAACTCAAATAATGAATCAGCAAGGTAAAGAAGTTTTCAAGCAAGTGATAGAAGTAATTGCACAAAATCAAAATGCATGAATGGAAATTGATGAATAGTTGGAATCAAATATCAGTAGGTGATGAAATGTTTAATCTATACAGTATTGAATAATCCTAATTGCGTTTCTTAAAAAAATATTGCTACTGAATTATTTGCACATTATGGAAATTTTAGATTTTAAATGTCAGTTGATTGACAGTTACAACCTTTTTACGAAAGTTAATCAGTTTTTTAATCAAGTTAATCAGCACAAAATTTAATTTCGATAAATCTAGCATGAACTTTTGCGGTAAAATCCAGGTCTCAAATCAAAACAAAAATGTTTTTATAAGAGATCTTTTCTTTTTCTGTTCTGTTCTATTGTCGGTTATGATTTGTGACAAGTTTAATGAGTAAAAGGCTACGAACTGATTTGCTTAATACTATAGTCCCAGGAAAATATTTCAACTACCCGAGAATTGGGATCACTTACTAATGATTCTTTTTCTTGTGACATTAATTGAATATTGGACTTATTATTATTGAAGTGTAAGTGGAATTATTATTATTGCACAAAATTCAATAAATCTAACATGAACGTTTTGCGGTGAATGTCCGATCTCAAATCAACTCCAAAAAATAGTTCAACTCCAGGGTAGAGGAGCAACAAATATAGTCAACAAATATAGTTGATAGCATGAGAGCAACAAATATAGTTGACAGCATGACATAATAATGAGTGCTAATGTGACTTTCAAGAAAGCAGTATACTATAAAATGGGAACAGTTAGCCGCGGGTTGCTTCTTATCCCTAATGTGAACTACCCGTGGATATAAAGCAAAAGCAGTAGTGCTGCCTAGGTTTTCCCCTTCTCCTATGGAAAGAACCATTCGATGATAATTCTAATGAAAAAGAAGAGATGGGGTCATGATTAGTGTTAGCCTATTTACTGCTTCTATGAGTATTGCTCTATTGGCAATATTCCTACTAATATTTTATTGGATTATTTGATTCAAAAATTTACCGACGATTTCCTTTTTTAATATTTATGCATTATTCCACATAATTATAAAATTCTTTTTCACATTAAGAGTTTGCAAAGTACTAAAGCTAAAATTGATATAAAAATTCAATTCTGTATTAGCGATTTACAGGATTTTATTGATTCATTGCTGAATTTGTGATAAAAAATTTTTAAATCAATATTTCAGTAATAATTTATCATTTTAAATTGATATTTCAAATAATTTATGACATTATTATTTTGCCATCAAAATATTGGCTGAAGATATAGCGCCAGGGAAAAATCACAAATAAATTCAAATTTATATTATAATTCTTCAAAATTTCAAATTTGTAAATTACCTAATTTTCCGGAGTTCGGGTTTTTAATAAATTCATTGCTGAAATTAATTGAATATGATACAAAATATTTGCAAGTACTAAAGCTAAAATGATATTAAAATTCAATTCTGTATTAGCGATTTTTTATTTATTGCCATATTTGTGATAAAAAATTTTAAATTCTATTAAATCTGTTTATCTCTCGCAAATTTTAGGAAACTATTAAAACATTTATCACACATAATTCAAGCTATCATAACTAATTTATTTAATCACTATATCACTCCAACTTTTTCTATTAATATATTTCACTAATTTTCTATTTATATTAATTAATCATTATTTTACAATGATTGAAAATTCTCAACTAAAACTTCTCAAAATACATAAAACTAAAGGATAAAAATATTGACTGATGAATTTTGCATACAACGAAATATGTAAATTTTAAGTCGTTTACAAATGTTAACTTTGTAAATAACAAAAACAATCATAAATTAGCAATGATTAAAAGGCTTTAGAAAAATACTTCAAAAAGTCATCATCAATTTATTTTTAAACATTTTTTAAAAAAAATTTCTCTCACTTTTAATGTTCACTATTAAGCAGGAAAAAATACACTAAATACTGTGATTTGCTATTTCATCAAGTGCTACTCGAAGAATTATTTTAAATGAGTATTATCATAGAGTTTGCGACAATGACGGATTGAAGTAGTATAAATTAAGTAACAGAAGTAATAATTTTGTAATTGCATATTCTTACAATTATTTAAATGCGCTAATAAGCCTTGAAATTTTGCACAATTAATGGCTGTTTGAAATAAAAAAGTATAAAAAAACTTCAATTTATCAATTTATTGCAAAGGCATGGATGAAAAGGATTTGTCTTCCTTATCAATAATATTATGTTTTATAGCTAATTAACAGCTCGATTAGTTATTTGTAGTGTGGAATTCGTTATCAATATTTATGGAAGCATATTATTATCAGAGTTTACAATGCAGTACCCGAAATTGCTAAAAGAGACTTATCATTCTTTCCTGATAAATTTATTTATTAATGATTGTCAATGAAAGTCAATTTTGATTTGAAAAACAGAAAAAGGCAAACTTGTACTAACATAAATTTCAAAGAATTGGAATTAATCTGAAATAAAACTTTTTAAGAATCTTTAAAAGAGATACACTATTAAGTGGGACGTGATTTAAATACGTCAATAATCTCTAAAAGAGGTAGATTTTATGAACTTCGATATTGACTTAAACACAATAAATAAAAATAAAGAATTAAAAACTTTTTTATCAAATACGGCAATAAATAAAAAATCGCTAACACATAATTGAATTTTAATATCATTTTAGCTTTAGTACCTTGCAAATATTTTGTATCATATTCAATTAATTTCAGCAGTGAATTTATCAAAAACCCAAATTCCGGAAAATTAGGTAGTTTAAAAATTTGAAATTTAAAGAATTATAACATAAATCTGAACTTATTGGGAAATTTCACTAACGCTATACCTTCGGTCGAAATTTTTGGGCAAAATTCTTTTCATAATAATGACAAAATTTATTTGAAATATTAATTTAAAATGATAACTTATTACTGAAATGCGGAATTAAAATTTTTTTAACACAAATTCAGCAATAAATTAATAAATCAGAGTTAGATATGATCAATTAAAATGTGAATAAGATGGTAAGCAATAGCCATCAATAAATATAGGAAGTAAGCCAACATATTTCCACTTGTCAGTTAATTGATGTCACCAAAATTTAAAACCTAAAATTTTTACAACATGCAAATAATTCATTCAATATTTTATTTACCACTCAATATACAATATTTAATTAAACAAAGTAGACAGGATTATTATATACTGCACAGATTAAATATTTCAATAACATTTAATTCCAGCTATTCACCAGTTTCCTTTATGCAAATGTTACTCCATTTTATCAACCAAACTTTTTTTTGAAATTTGTTCCATCCTTTCAAATATCAAATACCGCTTCAGCTTATGTTGAAATTTTTTTTATAATAGTAGGAATAGTTATGGATGTATGTCAATAAGCAATATTTATCAAATTTCAAGTGATCAAATGAAGTTCTATCAGTGATATTATTAGTGGTATGTATAACAAACCATTTTATTAGTGGTATGTATAACAAACCATTATATATATTTTATCATTATTAATTACCACTGCTTTGACCATCACCCATTCACACTAAAGTTTTC